TATTTTTCAAGCAGCTCGACCGCGACGCGTGTGCTTCATTTTTCCTTTTCTTTTATTCTGCTCACTGCAGAACGACGTCGTTTCCACCACCTCTCTAAATTGCCCCTCCTTGGTCGCCCGCCACCGCCGCCTCGGCCGGCGGCCACCGCCTCTTCGATCGATGCTTAGCCCCACTTGATGGTCGGCGCCTACAAATTCTGACTGCCACATCCAGCCCACTCCCTTGTATTGTCCCTTCACTTGGTTCAAGTTTCGAAAAACATTATTGCAGTTCAAGTTCCCATGGTAATCGATAGGTATTGCAGCAAATTAATTAAACTTATCTTCAATTTTTGCTCCGATTTTTTATTCGTTCACTTTTTCTCCGCCTCTGCCCTGTGAGCAGCGTTGATGCTCGCCGACGCTGGAAGCGGCGAGCCCCTCTCATTGTCGGCTACCGCAGGGCGGTAGTGCAGGAGCTTTTGAGGGAGGCGTCGCCGGAGATCGAGGTCAGAGGAGAAGTCGTCCCAGCCCGTAGGTGAAGATCGGCAGGTTAGTTCATATATTCATTGTTAATGAGTATCGAATTTAACTAAACTCACAGTTGATTCCACTAATAACCGAAAGCACAACATTCTTAGCTCCCTGTTCGTACACTTCTCTCGTCGAGCAACCACAAGTCAAAAATTACGAAACAAAAAATTGTTCTTTCACAATTGCTTGCCGCAAAAGCTTAAAAACACAGTACACTATATACTATGATCTTGTCTGAAACACCATCATTAATCAAAGTAAAATTAAACAAAATTCAAAAACCCGAAATCCCGAAAAAATCACACTCACCAAATGTATACGAAGTGGGGTACATTGATCTCTCCGAGGCAGAGAGAGCGGAATTTTTGTAAATAATCGTCTCGTTATTGATGCATTCCCAATCCGAAACATCGTTCCTCAGAATTTCCCTACCGTTCAACGGTCGTAACCTCACCGAGACATAAAATTATATATATATTATATAATAGGAAGAGTTTCGATCGAAGGGATGAGAAGAAGCAGAGGGAGGAGGAATATCTTGGGTCCGGTTTCGGAGGGTTTAGAACAAGGAGGGGGAAGTGATGAGCAGTAAGCTAATTTAGGTGCTCTTTTAGCATCTTCTTGGACCAAGCATCTGTTGCCTGTTCTCTGCCAAGCAGCCCTAGCTTCTGCTAGTGCCATTACTCTTCCATTTCTTTTCTTTCTAAACCCTAATTTCTACATCCAAATATAAACCAGTTACAAATCGAAAATAAATAAAATTGGCATATGATTCAAAATACAGATCACATAGAAAATCCATAGCTTTTTGATTAAAAAATATCCAGAAACAAGAAATTATTTGGCGTAAAGGTTGAATTTTTGCCACCATATCAAGCAAAGAACAAATCATAACATTTAATCAATTAAAACATTTCTTATTACCTATATCAAAGTTTAATCCTTCAATTACTACCCACTCCGAATTTATCAGGAATTAAGTAAACAAAAAAAATTGAAAAAATGAAAACAGAAGTGGAATAAACATAATCACTAATCAAATAGGTTCTGGTAATATACTCCTTTTGTTCTTTTCATTTTTCCCTGATTGTGTTTCAATTACCAACTGAATTAATCTCGATTCCGCCTTCTCGAATATCTCACTGCTCTCCAAATTCCACTCAAACCCCTTCTCAAATCTCTTCTCTTCTTTCAGATTATCGAGTCTCAACAGCCGGAGAAGAAACAAGAATCATCTTTCTCCGAACCTCGTTTTCTGTAATAAGAACACCTGCCCACAAGCCGATAATCAATATTTTACAGCTGAAAACAAAGATTTGATTACAAGGGTCGGCCGAGGATTGCTCGGTTTCGCCGCCGCCGTGTCGTTGCTCTGTGATTCGCCGGCGTTTGCTGAATCACAGACCAAAATGCCCCTCGTCGAACTTCTTTCGTTTGATTAGTTTTTCAAGTGTTGAAAATGAATGTAGTTGTGTTCTTGAATCAATAGTTGACAACATTAGGATGCGAGCTTCGTGTTTGTCGTTTTATCGGTTTTATCCTTGTCCGAATCAATGAACTAATAATTCGAAGGGGACTTATGTTTTACAGATTAGGACTTAAATTACAACAAACGATGGTCGAAATGTTTCCACTTACATCAGAAGATGCTGCGTATAATAAATTTAAAGGGACGCTTTCGACTGTTGGAGATCCTTTTACGCGCATAATCAGTCCTAAGGTATTTTTTTTCGTGTCTGGATCGAGTTCAAATCTTAAGAAACCAGTCAGAAGAGGTCATCACCGAGCAAAACGAAATTATAACAAGCCTCGAGTCACGGTTGGACGAGCTGGAAACGGAAATACAAAAACAGAACATACACATTGGAGAGCTACAGGTCGAGAGAGCAGAGCAACAAACAATGCTGAATCAACAACAACATGAGATAGAAAGTATTAGGCGAGCCCTTCAAGTGGCAAATTGTTCTGCTGCGACGAGCACTAGCACGAATTGTACGCCACTTTACTGATCAATTTGTACAGATAAGGCACAGTAAGCTGAGATTGTTTCTTAATTTAGCTTCTAGTAAGTGGGTGTTTGCGAAATAGTTTCCTTTAAACATTCTAGCTACTACAGAAGTGGGTTCGACAATAAATCTCCAACCATGCTTGGAAAGTAAAGTGATATTCGACGATTGTTTGTTTTAACATGCAATCATATTCTATTATTTTATTCATAAGCAATTAATTTTAGCCAAAAATCTACACGCAAGTGCACATATTGCTTAAGAGTCAGATATCCGCCCCACATAGAGCTCAAGATGTCTCATGTACCTAATAAAGCTTCACAATTTATTGGATACAAGAAATGGTAAACTTGATCGATTGTTACGACTGTGAACGCAAATTAAAACAACAATTACTTAATACGAGAAAGGTCTAGCTAGGACGTCGTTTCCCTATGTGTTAATTAAATCCACGAGTACTCAATTATACAAATAATGAATTCAATTTATTAACGAGAGCCGTTGTCATATGTATTGTAATCCTATTACGTACAAGCAAATTACAACATGTTTATAACAATTTAAAATTGCGAGTAACACAATAAGTTGAAGATCTTAATTGGTTACCCAGGATGTAGAAGTATATGTTTATCTTCCAAGCATATTAATTATTCCGAACACATCCAGCGAAATTAAGCCATGAGTTCATATGTTTCAGTGTAATTCTGAAGACCATTCATCAACTAATAATCAAAGAAACTATCTACTCACATAATTTTTCGTGTTTTTCGCGTTTTCCGTTTTTTTTTAAGACAACCCAGGCAACTTTTCATTCAAAAAACAAAAGATAGCGTTTGGATTATATATGATGAATTTATGTTAAAGTTATATTTTTAATTCCGCGTAAAACACATTAGGAATTTTTAAACTATCTAAATTTCCTATGAATATATCATTGAGGTCCTGAGATTCGATTTTGAAAAATTGGTATTAAAGCGATTCTAATAAGTTCGTATGAGATGTATGTTATTTTGTCCAAATTAAAACTGAAAAAGGATTAATGCATATTGCATGTGAGATTTTTTTGATCTTTGTTTTGCAGAATAAATGTTGAGAATTGGGCCCAAGATGACCTTCTTGGGATAGGGCCCAAGAGCGCAAATCCACATGGCAGCCCAACTAGTTACTTAAGCCTATTTGAATAAATGTTGACCTTGATCTTGACCACTCATTTGTATCCATATAAAACCCTTGATAGAAACCCTAACTCTCGTTTCTCTCATGCGTCGTTCTCTCTCTCTCTCTCTCTCTCTCTCTCTCTCTCTCTGTTGTACTTCTTTGCTTTTGCATGTCGTTTTCCGGTGACCTATTCACCTAGTCTCCGCCGTACATGGATTGCATTAAATGGGGAGACCGGTGTTGCCTCCTACCGTTGCTACAGTGTCTATATATACATCGTTTAGAGAGAGAGAAAGGTGGAACACTTTTCATTATCTTCAACCTCTCTCTTCGTTTAATCTTCTTCTTCCGTGAGTAATTATACACTGCGTGAGAGGGTTTGAGATCTGAGATATGAGAGTGCCGCCTTGTTGGTGACTATACACGTGTTGATAAGTCAATAACTGTGAGATTTGAGTAGTTTAGGGTGTTGGTTGAGCGTGGTTACTATTTAGGCTTGCTGCTCAGAGCTGCTCTGTGTTTGTCTTGCCTAAACTCTGGACTAGCCCTAAGTAATTCTTATTGCTAGTTCTTTCTATCATGACTCTTCAATTCATTAAAATTTCGCATAATATTTTCCAAAATGAAGTTAAATAGAATGGATGAGCAAGTCAGACGAAGATCCTTATAGGAAAAAAAATATCGACTCCCTCTCATTTAGAGAGAAAACGCCTCAGCCCCCACACTTCTTAACTCATTTCAAAGCTAATTTAAACCCAGACTAACTTAAAACACTTTGATGCCATACTCGTCAATTTTTTCATCATCCATCACCAAAGCTAAACACAAATCATTAAGTAATTAAGAATGTTCGTGTGATCATTGAAGAGATTGAGAGGTTTTGGGCCCTTTGGCCAAAATGTCGTTTTAAATATATTTCCCGTAATGCAAACTTTGCCTCCCACAACCTTGCTAAGTGGACTTTTAGATAAATATTGGGTGGGCTTTGTCCCTTTTTGTAATATTATGTTATCGTGTTTTTGTGACGGGATTCCCGATTGTAGACTCTTGTGTTTTTCATTTTATTTAATTTATGTATTCTATTTTCTATAAAAAAAAAATCATTTATTTCCAAGGCACAAATTTGAAATTACTAAGAAAATAAGGACAAATTATAATGAACAAGACCCCCCCCCCCACCCCCCCCAAACGTCAACTCTACCGTTAATAATCCCGTTTCCTTGTCCTTACCGTTAAAGTAGGCGTTAGTGTCACACCCACTCCCCGCCGTTAATTATTTAAAAAAAATAAAAATAAAAAGCCAAAAACATCCTCCAACGGCTATCTTGGCCCGTAAAATATTTTTATTTCAAATACACCCCAAAAAAAATCAAAAACGCACACACACAGTCGTAAAATGGAGAAAACACCATCCCGAACGAAATCCGCCACAAGGCTGTCGAAGCTCCGCCACTACAGCGGATCACCAATCCCAAAACTCTCTCTAGAAATCGTCGTCCCTGATATATCAACGCCGCCGTCAACTATCTCCCCAACCCTAAAACCCCCTTACACTCTACCGCTCCACGATTTCTTAATGTTTTCCCCTTCCGCTTCCCCTTCTTCTCTCAAGAGATCCAAAACCCGCCGCCTTGAAATGGCTGATGACTCCGCCGCCGCCACCGCCGCCGCCGCCGCCGGAGGAGCAATTGAGGCCTTTGGATTGAGGAAGAGATGCAAGAGCCGGAATTCGCCCAGGGGTAATCGGAGGTCTAGGCGAAGGACAGAGCAAGATCTGGATAAGGATCTCGTTGTCGTTGTCGCCGGCGATGAAATTTCCGCGAAACCGAGAAAAAAGAGGCACATTGAAAAATCTACAAAGGCTAAATCGCCGGGTATGTTTGCATTTGTTTTTTGATTATTGATTTTTGATTTTTTATTTTTGATTTTTGATTTTTTATTTTTGTATTTTGGATTTTGTATTTTTTATTTTTTATTTTTGATTTTTTTGATTTTTGATTTTTGATTTTTGATTTTTGATTTTTGATTTTTGATTTTTGATTTTTGATTTTTGATTTTTGATTTTTGATTTTTGATTTTTGATTTTTGATTTTTGATTTTTGATTTTTGATTTTTGATTTTGATTTTGATTTTTGATTTTTGATTTTTGATACTCCTGATTTTTCTTTACATTGATTTTCATTTTTTTGTTTTTTTAATTATTATTAACTATTGTTTAGGAATAAATGATGGTGGTGATGGGTGCAATCTGGATGCGATAGGGGAGATTCTGAATGACTTGGTTATGTGGAAAGACGTCTCGAAATCGAGCCTTTGGTTCGGTTTCGGCTCCCTCTGTTTTCTGTCTTCTTGTTTCACAAAGGGTGTCAATTTTAGGTATTTTTCGATTCTTATAATATTCACACCGCTTGTTGTAATTGTCGAAATAAAATTAAAAATTAATCGACGTGATTTTTGCAGCATTTTCTCGTTCCTATCTCAAGCGGGGCTTCTGCTATTGGGAGTTTCGTTCTTCTCCAATTCGATGCGTCCCAAGTATGATTTAGCCAAACTGTTTTCATTTCATTGTATATACATATGTTGTTGTATGTAATTCATTTATCGAGCAATTTGATAGGGACGCGAGCGAGACTAATCGCGATTTCAAGTTGAAAGAAGATGATATACTTCGAGTTGCAAGATTGATAATGCCGGCTGCGAATCTTGCGATTTCGAAGACAAGACGAGTCTTTTCAGGGGAACCAGCCATGACCCTTAAAGTATTTATACTCATTCGATCTTTAGTTTATTTCTTATATAAAATAGGACAAAATGGACTTCACCCCCTATTAAGTTTTCCATTTTCGCATTTCCCCCCCTAAAAATTCAAAAAAGGGATGTCGAAATATTATGTTGGTTGCACTTTGCCCCACAAGCCAATTTTTGGTGGTCATCGTGCAACAAAAATTAACATTTTAAAGGGGCAAAGTGCAAGAAAATAATGTTTTTAAGGGGCAACGTGCAACAAAAGTTACATTTAAAGGGACAACGTGCAACAAAAATACTCAATTCTGATGAATAATCCATCAGAATTGAGGGGGTAATGTGCGGAAATTAGAAATTTATAGGGGGTTGCAATTTGCCCTATAAAATATGAATTAAGTTTGCTGAACTTTCTGCCTTCTCCTTTAGGTGGTTCCGTTTTTACTCGTGGGAGCAGAGTATGGCCATCTTATTACACTTTGGAGATTATGTGCACTTGGTAAACTCGTAAAATCCACCAAATAAAATCTCTTGATTTTCTTGACCGTGTTGCATTTTTATTTTTATTTTAATTATTTTGAACTTTTTTTACAGGGTTTTTTATTAGCTTTACCGGCCCGAAATTATACTCTGCCTACTCGTCACAGTTGTCTAAGAAAGGTTGGTGTGATATATTGCCTTATTGTATTCTTGATATGATTTCTTTCGAGTTTCGACCGAGGCTTTCACTAAAAAAAAATTGAATTTATTGTAAATAATAAACAGTTGAATATGTGAAATCTTGGGCAATGGATGTATGGGGAAGCTGCACGCACAAAAAGATTGCGTCTGGATTGGCCGCGACGGCCTTTTGGAACCTCACATCCATCAGAACCCGAGTATTTGCTGGTAAAAAATGGTTACTGATTATAATGTTTATTGAAATTCTTAGATCATATCGAAATGTTACAAACGTTCGACTCGGTGTGGATTTTGTGCAGCGTTCTTGTGCCTTGTGATACTCCGATATCGCAGACAGCATTCGGAGGCAGAAGTCGAGGAAGATGCTGCAGAAGCAGAAGGAAAACGAGAAGGAAAACAGGAGCAGCAGCAAAATGAAAAGGCACTAGTTGCTGTACAAGTCGAATCCAAGAAGTAAAAAAATAATGTAATCTTTACGTTTTCGAAAAATTAAATCTTTGTAGAGATGTGCGAGAAGTCCGTCTGCTGCTGTTGTTGTACGCGTGTTTATATGTAAAAATGCTGATATGTGTGTTCAATTATTTTCAGTTCATTAGCACGCCAACTATGAGTTACGATAATTGTTGTTCTTTGCCCAAAATGGGATGTATAAAACGGGCATCAAAGCCCGGAAACGGGAGCTTTGAGCCCTGGAGTAGTTTTTTAGGTTTTTTGTTATTTGAAGTATTTCATTAAAGGCGTGATGAAGTTTGAAGTTAAAAAAATATGGGGTTTTTTCGACTCCACTCGCTGCCCGTGTAATCTTTAATTGTGGAAAAAGTGCCCCCGATCCTCGAGATTAATTTAATATTTTTGAACATGTTAAATTTGTTCAATATGAGGTTTTTATAGACAAATTACATGTAATACGGCACTCACCGCCCCTGTGTAATCTTTAATTTGTCTATAAAACCTCATATTGAACAAAATTAACATGTTCAAGAATATTAAATTAATCTCGGGAATGGTAGGGGGCACTTTTTCGAGATTTAATACAAATTATAATCTAATGACCGAACATCTTATCGACTAATTAATTAATTAGCAATAGATAATCAATCCAATCTCATATAATCTAAACTAATCACATATATAAGTAACCGAATGAACCCCATAATATTCGACTTGGCTTATTGTCATTCGAAGAAAAAATGCGTAGCAATCTTATGCAAATCGATCAAATTTATAGCTATCCAAAACAGAAACAAGAGCATAGATCGATCGATGGTAAAAATAGTGATGTATAAATAACACAAAACTTACGTAAAAACTTAACTAAGAGCAGTTGAAACAATCATCGGTCCAGATTCCAAAAGGTAAATATAATGTTCACTAGTTTCTCTGCACCGGGCACATAAGCTAAAGGGATCTAGATAGGAGGGGAGATACGAGGGTTCCTATCATTAGCCGAGCCAGGATTTTAAGTTCGGGTAGTTGGTTCGTGATTCAAAAATCGGATATCGTAAATTATTTTAAATGGCGGAGATCGATCAAGAATCTTGGTGGTACTATCAAGTAGGATCATATATTCATCAATAATTCAAAAGTAGTATATAATTATATTATACAAAAAATGAGTGGTATAACAATAATTTATTTACTCAAAAAAATAAAACAATAATTTATTGATTTATGGAAAATAATATATAGAAAGGCCATTTTGACAACAATGACAGCTCATTTTCAAATATGTGGTCTCCCATCACAAAGGCCAAATAAATGAGGTGGAATCATCATTTGTATTATCGCCAAGTACAAATAATTGAGTGTGGCATCACGAACATAAATTTATTGCCATGGATCTGTACAGATAGTATGATTACATACGGATTTCTATGAATAAGTGACCTGACCAACCATCTCTATTATTCTAGATTCAAGGGTTGGTTATATCTCTTTCGTCAATAAGATCATCCCTTTAAAATGTATTATAAATAAAGGCAAAATTAATATATATGACAAAATTATCATCAACCTTTAATTGTTGGGGAAATTTGCTAGACACCCCTAATTTTGGACTTATATGGGTAGAAGTCCTAGTTGCTAGATGAATATAGGCCTAGGTCCATCCATATAAAAAAATAATATAAATTAAATAATAAAAATAATATATAGACATAAGTACCCTTATTGAATAAACATATTGTTATTTACGTAAAGTTGGGAAATCAAATCCCACTAATCACGATTGAAGGCAGAGTATCGTGTAAGACGTTTAGAAAACATATCTTAGTCGATTCAAGCGGAATATGAGATCATCATGAATAGTTCGACAAACCAATACGAGCGTATTACAATCAAACACGAGAGTCGGTGTTGATAATCAGTTAACCCTTTTTTTGGCCTGCAATCAACATGAAATTGAATTATACGAAAAGGTTTGTTAATGGATGTTTGTTGTTTTGAATTTTCGATTTATGAATCGTCGTTTTTACAACTTAATTTTCGTTCAATATTGTTTGCAGTTTATCGTTCTCCACAAAATTGGTGTTCACGTATGATGTATTAGTATCGGTGAAGAAAGTGTCGGATGGAACACGTTATAAGAAATTAGTTGATTTTGTTTGCTCGAAGTGGAGTTGCCTATGTCCGGGTAATTTTTCATTGACATATAATTTGTTAAATCACGGGGAATGCGTCCTGATGGATGACGAAGATGTCGAATTTTGAATGCTTCCATAGGTTTTTGGTGTTTGATTGTTTGCAGTTTTACTTGGTCTTTTGCATTTTGTCTTTATTCGATTTGCTGTTCAATATTTGCAGTTGTTTCGTTTGTTGTTTACAAATTTGTTTCGATTTGTTTTCGTTTGCTGTTTACAGGGTTTGCTGTTCCGAAAATTACAATTGCAAAAATATGGAAATCGATTTCCTCCCTGTTTCTTCAAAGCGAAAATCTCACCACGAATTTTGAATCCTTCCATAGGTTTTGGGTGTTTGATTGTTTGCAGTTTTACTTGGTCGTTTGCATTTTGTCTTTGTTCGATTTGCTGTTCAATATTTGCATTTGTTTCGTTTGCGGTTTACAAATTTGTTGTTCACTATTTGCATTATGTTTCGTTTGCTGTTACAAATA